TTGCTCAGGCTGGTCTCGAACTCCTGAGCTCAAACAATCCGCCCACCTCGGCCTCCCAGAGAGCTAGGATTACAGGCGTGAGCCACCGCGCCCAGCCTATAGCTAATATTTTTGACTATGTTGGTCTTCCTGCTTTTGCCTTCAAAATACTTTGTTTTATTGGCAACTGTATTTGTTTTTTAGCCCACTGTTATTGGCAAATTGTTCATTCTGTTGATGTTACCAGCTTTATTATTATTAATATTATTTTTTTAGGTGGAGCTAGTGGAAGAAACTCGACAACTAGATTCCACATACTTCAGAAAGCTACAGGCTTTGCATAAAGAGACATTTTGCAAGAAAACTGAGGTAAAACAACTTTTTACTTAGAAAAACAAACTTTTTATCCTGGAGAAGGTTACCACTTTATATATTGGAGGGGAGGAGATTGTATATTGAGGAGATGATGATAAAGCAGAGAATAGGCTGTTTCATTTTTCTGCTATTTCTTTGCCTAGCATGCTGCATTTGACAGATGTTACATTTTATTGACACATTTAACAACAGAGCCAGGAAAACAAAGCAGATGAGATAGTATAGGTACTCAAGCCACTTATTTGCCTTAGCTAAGACCAGAAAGTCGAGCCTTCAAGCCATATTATATTGAATGTTATCAGTTATTTTCTGTATGGTAACTGCTGTTTCTATAATATTTGTTGTCAGGTCACAAAAGAGTTAAGATGCATTCTTTAAACAGAAAAGACAATTGCATGACAGCAATAGGCAAAAACAATAAAGAAAAAATAGGAAAGGAGTTGGGAAAGTAATTCAAAAGATCTATAAGATTGACTAGGACATTAAAGTGTTATTTTGATTTATAAATTTGCATCTTTTGAATTGTCTAAGTAAACCATGATAGATCAAAAAAATCGTAAATTTAAATGTGTACATCTACATAAAAATGACAATTAATTGACCTGGAAATGTTTATGACATATCCTTATGTAAAAATGTATGGAACACAAACACTGGCATGGTATGATTCTATTTATGTAAAATTAAATGTGTATTTCTACATGTATCCATATCTGCAAAAAGAGATATCTGGAAAGATATTCACCAAAATGTTAAAGACAGTTAGCTCTGAATGATGAGGTTTCAGTTGATTTTTTTACTTTCTTCTTTGTACCTCTCTGAAATCGTTATCCTTATATAATAAAGTTTTACAAAAACAGTATTTTTTAAAATGTAACTTTTATAATGGTTGCCTTATTAACACAGAAGTTCTCTATTTGAGACATTACTAATTAATATCTTGGAAAAGATACATAAAAATCTATAGAGGTAGTTGTCTTTTAAACTTTATGTACTAAAATTTATAATACTC